AAAAAAAAAAAAAAAAAAAAAAAAAAAAAAAGGGGGGGGGGGGGGGACGGGGAAGAGAGAGATTGTGCGCATACGAACGCATCAGGGCGTGAATCCCCACAATGGCAAGGCGCGGAATGCGCCAGAACTGGAAACGGCAGTCGCCCGAGTGGACGCCCACTTCGCCTCCGAGCCTCCCCGGTGCCGCCCCGAGCCTCCTCAGTGCCGCCCCGAGCCTCTGAGCCTCTCCCCACGCTTCGAGTCGGTTCGGGTATCGACGTTCTGCCCGATCGGCGGGATTCCTCGAGACCCCGATTCCCGGTATGTGCGAGAAAAGAGGAGAAACACCGTCGTTATATCCAATTTCTACATCACATTCGATTCGTTATGCCAAGAACTGAAGGCCTCTTACATTTCCGCGTACCGCCTCATGCTCTGCCGTCCGATAACGGAATACAACATAGGCCTGGTCACTGAAAGCTGACATGCGGATAGTTACGGACGAGATGCAAGTTAAGTCCGTTCTTGGCAAAATTCGTGGCAAAAGCAAATTTTTTTTCTCACGAGTTGTGAAATTCTGACATTCGCTCAAAGCGGGAAAGGCACGAAAACCGTCAGCCTCGAATTCGTCTCAATTCAAACGCGCATGCGCAGAGTGCCCACTTCCCTTCCAACCTTCGAGGTTGACGGATTCATTGTTGAACGGAAAGACAGTGTAGAACAGGGTTGCTAACCGTGTAATGCCGTGTCGAGCAGTGCTGCACGTTCTGCTCCCCTCCCCCCTCCCCCCTGTCCCAATGGTCGCTGGAAGGAGGCTCGTGTTAAAATCCAGTTCCGAACAGTTTCAGAGAAGCATGAAGCTGTTCGCCGAAGTGACCGAGGCGGATTACCGCCGATGGATGCTGATGCTGCTCGGGACCTTGGTGACCGTCATGGGCCTCATCTTCCTCGTGCTCCTCGTCTCCCTCCTGACCCGGCACGGATCGGCGTTCCAGCCGGTGCCGGCCTCGGCCCCGGCTGCCGCGCCGCCGGCGGTCGAGGAGCCGCCTCGTCCGTACAGCATCATTCCCATCTCGACCAACGAGTGCCCTCCCGGGCAGATGCCGGATTTCAATGGGAAATGCAAACCCATGATCGGATAGGCGTTGGCTGACTCTGACGTCGGTTTCAATGCACTTCACGCGCAATTTCTGTGGCGAATACGATTTTACAGCCTTTAGTCCATTTGGCATTTGGAAAAGATTTTTTAAATTCGTGTCTGAGCTCATCGCACAAGGTCTTCTTTTTGTCTCGTCAAACCGGGTGTTTGCCGAGTCGAAACCCTTTAAAAGGCTTCAGTCGATCATTCGGTATAAGTGAATGTTTTTGGTTACATCAAAGGGATTCGACCGAGCAGATTACATGCGATTTTTTGCCATCTCCAACATTATATAAATTTTAGTGTTTGCGTCAACGCAATAAAAAAATGTTGTCAAATGTGACCCTCCTAGCTCCACTAGATGCTGACGTAATGCATTTCTAATTAGCACGTTGACCCACAAGGAAAGCCATAGTTCTCGAGGGACCCCACGACAGCCCCACACTCCGACCCGCCCGTCGCGACGAACGAGGGAGAACTGGCTTCATCTTCCCCGCGCGTGCTCCGCTCTTCGCACGATTTTCTGCATTCGACGCGAACTGGATGGGACCCCCATGACGGCGGGGAGGCAGAGTTCAAGATACAGGGGCCGAGTCCCCGAACCGATAGAGGGGAAGCTCATACAGGCGCCTGCTTCCGATTGTGCTCTTGCGAGGGACGAGAAGCGGACGCGACTGGGTGCATGGTCGAGTTGAATGAGTTGGAGGCTTTTCCACTGGTACCAAACTTTTTCTCTTCTCTTTCTTTGGTTCGGCATCCATCAATAGACAGAAAAGAATAGACACTAGTGACGTACAGTACATTGAAAGCGAGAAGAAAACAGTATTATAATTTGTTGAAAGACCTCATGTTTCTGCTGAAAACCTGCGAAAATGAAACAAGGTCTGTGGGACCTACGTAAACGGCGAAAAAGTCGTCACATTTGAACGAAGTAAAAAAAGAAAAAGAAAAAAAAAAGGCTGTCGTCAGTGATGCTCCCGTACATGACTATGCTTAACTTTTAAATTTTAATTTAAATTGCCCATGGGGGAGTAAGCTCTACAATCCTGATGCCATCAGAAGTACAAGGTCGGATGAACCAAGTTCCTCCATTGACAAGCAGCAATGAGTCATGCATAATACCTATTAACACTTAGAACCCCCCTCCCATGTCATCAAGTAGAAGAGGGGTAGAAGGACTTTATTACCCTGGCTATCTGAGATAAGAATGGACAAGGTACATTCACGAAGTAAGCATGCAATCAGCCAGCCACACTCTCATGCCACTTGACTCCCCCTTCAAGTGCAGTTATTCATTTATTGTGGTTTTGCCATAGAACAAAAAAATTCCTGACAATGCTTGACCCTAGAGCTACTGAATATCCATCAAACTGTGCCTCGCAAATTTGAGCAGTTTTGGAGAATCGCTTCTGAGAGTTTCTGGAAAAAGCACGTATTGTCACCATAAGAGGTTAAATCATCCATACTTCCCATTTCCACAAAGATGAATTCCCAAGAGAAAAAGCTCTCCAAATTGCATATTAACAGTAAAATCACAGATTTTCAAGGTCAGAGGTTCTCCTGGGTAAGAGTGGGAGTTCCAGTTTCAGTCCTGGAACTGGAGATGTAACACAGAAACAAAACCTCCTTGAATGCAATTGCTCACAAAAACCAACCTTTTTTGTGATAGTTATCTAAAAATGGTCACAAATCAACAATCATGTAATTTCATAATTCTATAGCACCAAGAAGAGAGTCCCATTAAAATGAAATATTGGGAAGCCACTGGCTTCAATCAGTGATCCTGAAAGCCTTCTTGTGTTCCCCTTTTTCAGAGAGAAAATGTTTAAACATTTTCTCCAGAGGTATGACCTCATTGGGATTGGGATTCAAAACTAGAAATATCTATTCCATCATTTCAATGCTTTCTCTATAATGCCAATCCATTTCTTTCATACCAAAATGGTACACACTTGCAATGATGCTTGATTTAATTCAAGATCTCTGCAGCACTTGTAGATGTTGTCTCACATTGAAGCAGGAAAGATAACTATTGGAGATGAACTCCATAGCTACATGGCTATCACATCACATACAGATGACATCAGTACAGGTCAGGCTGAGCGAGGCGTTCTTCTCGATTCTCATTCTTCACATGTTCTTGAAACTTTTTCATGATTGAGGTATTGAATTCTGGTGGAACTGGTCTCACTCCTGCAAAACAAACCAAGTGAATTCAGTCTCTCTCCAATTTCTTTCAAACTGAATATTCTTGAATATGAGTCAGATACCTGCAGCCCAGTAGTATAAATCCCAGTCATTTGAAGGGAAATTGATCATCATGTCATACTCCATCAGTTCATCTTCAGTCATAGAATTCAAGTACTTTGAAGCAAAGGTGCTGAGGAGAAGCCCATTCTCTAGCATCCCTCTCTTTCGACTTTGGTACAGCAGTCTGAAACAGGAAGAAGTTCAGTAAAAACTTTCTCCAGCCAAAACAGCATGCCTGCTCTGCATTATGTTCTCTTCAATTGAGTGCTTATGCAATCCAAGGGCATTGGAATGAAAATCACATTAGTTACATTATGTGTATCAGGCCACAATTAAAATGAACCTAAATCACCCATTGATTCCCAAAACAGGTGGGCTTTATCACTCTAGTGGCCAAAACCAAAGGGCATCCCCTCTTCGACCGAGTAGACTGTCATTTTTGTCTGCGATATCACAAAGAATCAGCTTTCACTGAGGCACATCATGTTGTTTAAACAAAATTCTTCAAAATCCTTCTTCCCAAAGACCAAACAGATGCCACTTTTATCAATATTTTTAAATATTAATAATAAATTATGAATATCTTGCAGTTTTCCTTGGTCAGTTGATTTGCCATGACTTAGGGGTGGTAGCACTCAGAAGCTTTTGTTCCAGCAATTGAGCTTCTTGCATTTTCTGGGTGGCCAAGTGAGGTTGATGGAATGCCTTGCCTTACCTGGCACTACATAAAAGCCATTCTCTAGATAATAGAATTGTATATGGACCAGGTCTGTGTAACTCAATCACAATGAAGCACAAGCATGGGTTCAACAGCTTCTGGATAGGTCTGAACCCTCTTCGCCTAAGAAACTACATGAATATGAATTTTGTGCAATTCAGCAGTTTTAGGATGGGTGACAACAAAAATGTCTTCATTATTTGCATATCACAATAGATGGTTGAAGAGTTTGATGGTATTTCTGGATTGAATTTTCCCCCCTTTAAATGTGCTCAACTCATTCCTATAAGATCTACAAATGAGTCAAGAACTAGTAATTCCCATCCTTACTGGTGGGTGATTCACTAGCTTAAAATCCCAGTGTTAAATTCTGACTCATTCCAACTTGGTATTGGCTTGAAAGTAAGGTCAGATTCAGATTGGTTTCTAGTTGAAATATCACAGATGGAATAATAATGTTTTTGCTGGCTGTTCAGAAGCAGCTGAAATTTCAGCTGTAAATTCAGCAGTATTCCACATAGAGGGTCCTCTGAATAAAATTTTAACTGGAAATTTCTTGCTGGAAACAGCTATTAATACCAGATGCATTCCAGTCAGAAAATTACAGCTCTGAAAATAAACCTGTATTACTATATTCCAGCTCTTTGCCAGCTGGAAATGGTCTGAATCTATAGCTTTGGTCCAGTTGGAAATTCCTATTGGGATTTTAATCTTGGGCCTGATGGGCCCTGTTTTACCATTGCAAGTACTAAGTGGCTTTTAAACACCCTTAGCAGTCGTCCCAAGGAAGGATGTAATTGATTAAATGTCAATTCAAACTGTCTAAAGAAAATTATGAATCCACAATAACTTGACATGCTAAGTTTCTTCAGACACTATTGTTTGGTACTAAGGTTGACCTTCACATAGGAAGACCATTAACAGTTATGAGTAAGAGCCTTTGGATGAATAAGAGTCATTAAAGCCTGGAAAATTATGCTCTACTTTCACGGACTGAGTCTACCAACTATAGAAGGGGGAGTTCATATTGAGGCACATCATATCAAGTAAAATGTAGGTTACACCGCTGGGCTAGGACAACGGTCTGAAATGAAAATGGCACAAAATACCTGGCCCTTTTCTGATGCACAGGCTCCCCATTGTGATCCTTCGGCAAAGGAATGGGTGGCTCCCTCGACTCTATGTTTTGACTGAAGTAGCAAGGACGAGGGACCCCGATCGATCGCAAGCAAAGGAGCTGAAGTCAGAGCAAGGAGGCCAGTTATTGGAGACGTTCACGCTTACTATACACTCATACCATACATATGATAGGCTGATCATTTACGAAAGCACGTCGAAGCGGTGCATTGTGGGCAGGATTGAGAAGATTCATGCCTTGGGTATTGAAATTCACATGGCACAAATAGAGGCGGACATGACAGTTTTGTCAAGGTTGCCGAAGGAGTGTGGCAAGAAATAAGAGCTAACGTGGGGATCATGCAGAAATTCAGCAAATACAGACAAGTTAGAAAGCCATTACGTACGTTTTTACGAGTACTCATACACCTGTTAGGGCTCTATAGCCTTGAAACTTGAAAAACACAGCCATGGCATTATTCACACAGTACAACGCGAGACCGAGACCCCGAAGCTGAAGCTAGCCCCCTCCCCAGCACCAAGAGCTGAAGCGGGTACCCAATCTCTCAGAGGCCCCGCCCATTTCCCAGACCATGCAACACCACGTCGCCGCGCTCTGTATTCCTTTACACTAAGCTGCAGTACCTACCTAA